AAAGATAATTTAACCAGGAGACAAGAGCTCTGGTGGCGGGGGCTGGGGGCAAAAAAACAACAACAACAACACAGAAATTTCCAGTCTTTGCTTGAGTTTGTTTTCCTCGGAGCACCGCTGTCATAGCCAGACCTCTCAGAGGAAAAGCTCTGTTCATCATACCTGATCAGGTGTCTCAGAAAGAGACCACGACCAGAGAGGATGGAAAATGATTTGCAAAGAAGCCAAAAGGCGAATTCCGTAACTGTGTATTTTTCCACTCTGTGCTGATTTAAAACCACTTACCAGTTACAACTCCCAACCCCAGGCAGGTGCTGTGTGGTAGCTCATTACACCCCCGGGACCATGTAAATCTTTTTTCTGAGAACAGCTATTGTCTTCCAAGGAAAAGCTTTTAGCATAATGGCAGGCTGAACAGAACGTTGCTTTTGTAAGAATATTTTTAAGAAAAAGAAAAGGAGAGAGGAATTCTTTAAGAACTGCAAATGCAGCCTACGGCTCCCCCCAACCCCACCCCCAGCCCCAGCCCCAGCCCCACCAGCCCCACCAGCCCCACCCGCCCCCTGGAAAGAGGAGTGTGTGGGCCTGGCAGGGGAGGGGGACACAGAAGGCTGTGCCTCCCCCTGTGGGTGGCGATCACCGCAGGCTGCGTGGAAGGTCTTCCACATCAGAACCCGGAGAGGCCCCATCCACCTCTGTTGCTTCTTCGCTTCTGTCCAGTGAGTCAGTGATGACCGACTGTACTTCGCGAATGAGAGTTTCTAGTAAGAGAATGACATAGCCCTCAGAAGAGTCCCACGAATGAGGTCCTTCTCTCATTTAGCTCTTGAGGACAGCTGAGACAAGGCTGCTGGAGGGTCTGAAGACACAAGGGTCCCAAAAAGGAAAATTTCAGCAATAAGGCTGCTGAGGAAAATGAAGCTCCCACACAGAGAGTATATTTTCCCCCAAATAAAGAGACCCAACTTTCTCTGGGCTGAAACCGTCATTTAGAAGGTGACATTAGGGGGGAATACAGAGAAGTGGAGACGTGAACAAAGTGATGGAGGTCTTTAATAGGCAGCGCGCTCCGATTGTGTGCATTTCCGGGGAACTTCCCAGTGGTGGCTGGGCCTGGCGGGCGGGGCGCACTGCGAAACTGCCCTGAGGCCCTCCCTGGGCCCCGCTGGGTCTCGACCTTCAGGGACCCTTACCTTTGCACTTGCAACCTGGAATCGTGACAAACAGAGGAAGCCTCCTGACGGCCACGGCAGGACTCAGAAAGCAGGCAGGGCCAGGGAATGGCTGAGCCTCTCAGGAGGGGGAAGCATCCCCGACTCCGGGCTTCTCAACCACTTCCCCCAGGGTTTGCGTGAACAGTGGCCCCCCGCGCCCGCGCCTCCGCAAAACTTTCCTGACACTCTGATTTGTTCTCTAGTTCTGCTTAAATTTGACATCTCCCCTCGGTTCAAATCCAAACATCATACAATGCACACACACACCACCCCCGAAGAGTTCACACACTGAAGAAAGTAAGACTTGTCAACCCTCTACTTGGAAAATATATATTCAATGGGTCCACTAATCAAAGCACCTGTAACGCAGAATGTGCGCGATGATTCAGCTAGGCTACATGTAATTATGCCCAAACACCATGAGCAATGTGGTCTGGTCTTAGAAAGCACTAGAAACAATGTCTTGGATTGATTTGGCCACCAGCCCTATGTCCTGATGCCTTCTGTACCCACCTGCGGGAGCTTGTCCACTCCCCCACGCCCACCCTCCATGTTGTGACCCCAAACATCCTGGGCTCCTCTGAAGGGCCTGGACTTGTCCACTGACGCTCTCGGAGGTCAGAATAAGCTGCATTCCCTTCTCCTCTTGCCATCAAGTTCTCCCCAAGCCCATATCTTGCACGATGGCTTCAGTGACAATTTCTCAGAAAACTTCCCTGTTCACTGCCTCGCTGAAAAGGGCAGAGGGTGACTTTTTTCTTGGCCGTCTGCCAGAAGTTTTGCTCTGAGGGCTCAGACATCAAGGTGCATGAAGGAGGAGCATTGCGAGAAGGGCCCACATTCAGAGCTCCCAACACTGAGCACTCACCGTGCAATCACGTAGACACCTGGCAAACCCGGCTGCTACGGAGCTGAAAGTGTACTTGGTAAGAAAGTAAGGTTCTATATGTTATAAAATACTTTTGAAAAACAAATCAAACCAAACAAATGCTTTTAGGAGACCCTCTGGAGCCTAGACCCTGAGAAGGACTCAGAGTAATCAACAAAGTGTCCTTGGTAATCTCAGGTCTGGGACTTGGGGCCAGCCCGCCGGGAGAGCCATCATCACCCCAAGCAGGGCGCTCCCACCGGGCCCACAGCCACGCCCTTATTTCTTGGGTGTCTGAAGTTACGCGGAAGTGATCGCCCCACATGGTGGAAAGCAAGTCTTTCAGGGCACAGCACCTCCTCAGGAGGGGTGAGTGGTGGCCACAGAACCGGAAACTCGCCAGGTCACAGCTCAATACAACCCGAGCCAGAAGCCAACTGGGGGTCCCCGGAGGATGGAAGCGGGTGAGACAACTGAACCCCACCCGGAGGGAGGCAAGTCTGGCACTGCTGGCTCGCTTGCTACTCTACATCAATCCATGACATTTTGTAGCTCAAAAGTAGTTTTATGTCTGATTGAACAGGCATAGTTAACTGCATTTGGAATGTATACTATGCTGCTTTTTTTTTTTCTTTTAGAAACACAGCAAGGGCATATGTTCAGGTATATATCGCAGCTTGCCGAGCAAAGCTTTTCTCTGTAGCCCCCTGGAGACTATATCCCCCGCAGTGCAGCCCGGGCTACACCTTCTCAGCTCTGCACTGGGATCAGAGGCTCCAAATGCCCTCTCCCCGCTCTTTCCTGCCACGGTGTCTGAGACATCCGCTGTGAAAATGTTTTCATTGGATTAGAAGAGAAAAATAAAAATCACTGTGAGCAGGAAGAGGGTAACGCGTTTCCTGGTGGCCAAGGCAGCGTGAGTTGCTTTAACGAGTAAGCTGGCTTCCACTAGTGTCAGGACACAGACCAGGGCAGAGGGGGAGACCTGCCTCACCGAAGCGGGCCCGCAGGGGGACGCTGATCCCCTATTCTGATGACAACGGCCAATCAGCCTCATATTCCATACAAGGGACGCTTTCAGGGTTCCGGCAAAACAGAGGGGAACTCTCCTGGCACAACTAGGGAACAGAGAACGGGAGTGTGGGGAGGGCCTGCACCTTTGCCACTTTCTAGTTCTTTGAGCTTTGACTGGTCCCAGGGCCAACTTCACAAATTGCAGGGCCCACTGTTCCAAACTGTTTCAAGAATTTCAAGATGGGGACAGAAAAGCACTGGACGAAGGGCCAGGCCCTTCTAAGCAAGGAACTGGGTGGCTGTGCTCACAGAGACGGTCCCAATTTGCCCTTTCTCCTAGGGCGGAGCCCAGGTGTCCTCTGACCCAGCCCTGTGACTGTCACTCACACAGCTACCGCGTCACAAAGAAAAGGAACAGCGTCCATCTGACCAGCGAGTGGGCTCTCTCCGCTCCGCCCAGGATACCGCTGGAGATGAACAACCATTGACACATTGGCACATGTTTAAGGGAGAAAACCATACCGATTCCTGAGAGTCTATGTTGGTGCTAAGTAATCTTGCAGAGCAAGCAGAAACCAGTCTCCTTTGATTCACAGAAGGGAGTGCTGAGAGATCTTTGCTCTCTTTTTTTCTAACTGAACTATTTCCCGGTGTACGAAATCACTTAGGGACCTTTACCGTGTCTCAAGTCCTCTTCTTAAAGTAAGAGTGCTCTCTGTGGTTGTAATGCCAACTACGGTGCCGATGTTAGCGCAAACACAGACGCAAAGGCAAAGCAGCTCCATGTCACGACTACGTACTGGGGTTCTGCTCAGCTCCCATTCAGAAACTGAAACCGCACAACAAGCTTACACAGACTCCCTGTCTTCAGTGGATAATCGCTCAGTGAAGGTGCCGTCAGAAGGGTTACTATTTCCAACTTCCAAGCACCACACATGTGCAAGTGAAGGACTCCATGACTCTTACAGAAACTGTTCTTAAATGCATAAAACACATGAGAGAATTTTTGGAAAATCCCTTATTATTCATTAAAGCGTTTGGGGGCCTCATTAATTCAGGAGGGGTAATCAGTCATTGATGAGTCAGGTTGCTGAGCATCCACTGTCAGATGCTGATGGGGTGTGAGAAATCGCATCTCATACCCACCAGAGGGTCACCTGAACACAGTTAGCACTTCATCAGAGAAGGCTGTGTCTTCTGGGGATAAATTAGCCAGGTTTTCCTTCCCCAGTCTTTTCCTTCATCTCCCAGACTTTTCTCTGTTGCAAAGCACTCTTCATTCCGTTTGGTTTTTCTTGCCTATCTAAGGCCGGAAACTCTGACAGGAGCCAACTTGCGAAGCCAGCTGGCTGCAGGTGCGCCACACTTGCCCTCGGTGCATGTGTGCCCGCCTCTGTGTACGCTTTGCCTTGGTCTTATGTTTCTTGGCTACGGCCTCCTCCCTGTCATCAGCCTTTCAGATCCGAATGGTATTTCAGTTATGGGGAGGGTTCCTCACCAGGGCCCCAAACCTGCACTCACGTCCTCCCCAACCCTGGCTGACAGTGTGAGCGCTGTGACAGCAGGCAGTGTGTGACGGGGGTTCCTGGGTCAGCGGGTGGGCAACGGGGTGCAGAGGAAGGGGTGACCCTCGCACAGCGCTCTCGATGCCCACCAGCCATTTCATCGCCATAGTAGGCTGCAATTTACTCTCTCTCTCTCTCTCTCTCTCTCTAACAACAGAGTGCTGTTAGCGTTTATCCCTTGTGTCATGCCAAGGAGAATGGTGGGCGTTATTTCTGTAAGGAGGGATCAGACCCAATCCTTGCTGTGGCTTCTGATCGCAAAGGAACCAAGGGTTTCCAAGACTCCGAGACGCACCTCCCCACCCAACCTCCACAGAAGAGGGCCCTTGCTTCACTCACGGAACTGCTCTAGGTGGTCAGCGCCGGCGGACTCGGGCATGGCTGTGATGGTCACCAACGGACACGGATTCCCTCCGAGCGTCTGGCACAGGACTTCCTGCCGGAAGTAAATCTTTCTGGGGTTGACACTTTTTTCCAGGATATCAAGGTGAGTCTGGAGCAGAAACAAAACAGAACTGTACATGATTCATATTTTTGACAATAACAACAATAACAGAAAACAGCAACAAAGCTTACATTTGTGTAACCCCTTGCCGGGGTGTCCAAACCCTGGCCTGTGGGCCGCATGCGGCTCGGGATGGCTACAAACACAGCCCAACACAAAATTGTAAATTTACTTAAAACATCAGATTTTTCGGTGATTACACATCACAATGTATTTAATGGGTGGCCCAAGACAACTCTTACTTTTCCAGTGTGTCCCAGAGACACCAAAGGGTTGGACACCCCTGCCTGAGAGTTTATAAGTAAATGTGTTAACTTGACCTGCCCCATACACGTATGAAGTGATTAAAAAGGGGGCTATTCCCACTCCCTAGGGGGATTGCAGTGAGGGAGAAGTAAAGGAAGCATTGTCCCCACACATGTCTGCATAATAAAATATCTGCTTTCAACTGGCACTTTAAGCAACGGGACAGGGCATGCAGCATCGTCCCATCATTGTGGCACACGAAGAGTGTGGTCACCATGCAGAGAAGCACACCAGGGCACTGGAGCGCACGGGACCGAGAGCGTCCACGGCACACAGTACACGTTTTAGAGCCAAGCAGCATTCGGAGAGTTGTGAGCATATTGAAGGAGAGTAGAAAACAGTTCACCCAGGGGGGACGTTCAGCAAAGAGAACAATGAACTGGTAGCGACTGATTCTTTCCTGCTCTTCCTTCCCACCATGGAAACTAGGACACTTGGTCAATGGTCTTTAAGATCTCTGAAGATAGTTTCACCAAACACGGGGATTAGTCCTAAAGAGGCTCAGAGATTTCCTCCCACGCGACATACCCTGATAACAGAGACACTGTGACCTCAGTAATTGGAGAGGCTGACTCTCTCCTGCACAAGGACGTCAGCTCACAGAAATCACCCTTTCAGCTGAAGATCTAAAGTTTCCAGCACAATCAAGTTGTTGTTCACAGGGCCAAGGAGAAGCTGCCTGCCTTGTTTTTGGCAAGTAAGCCTGCTAGACATAGGAAAATAAAAAACTCTACAAAACCATTGATAAAATAGTCATAAAACTTATTATGAAAAGGGGAGTAGTGCCCTCAAAAGGCAGAGGAAATATTCGCGTATGAAAAGTGCTGGCTGCAGAAAGAGCAGGCAGAGTACCGGCTTGCCCAAACACACGCCAGTCTGTAAAAATGTGACCTGATGCGGCACAAGGGATTGACAGACATGTTGAAGACGGAGGTCTACTTGCAATGAGGAGATTACCCTGTATTATCCACCTGGAGCCAACCTAATCACACATGCTTAAAAGCAGAAAACTTTTCCCAGCCGCAGAGGACCAGAGAGAAGGCAGCGTGAATAGCACTCAGCCTGCCATTGCTGGCGCTGAAGACTGAAGAAGGGGTCAAGGGCTAATGAATGTGGAGTCCTTTAAAAGCTGGAAAAGGCAAGGAAATGGACTCTCCTCTAAGAACCTCTAAAAGAAACACAGCCCCAACACCCTGATTTTTGGCCAGTGAGACCCCTTCTCACTTAAACAGCCATGAGGAAAAAAAAATATTGTTTAAGCCACCAAGTTTGTGATCATTTGTTACAGCAGCAATAGAGAACTGATACAGCAGGAAATTAGAAAAAGAATTTCCTCAACTAAGTAAAAATCTAGGATTTGAGAACACATAGACTAAAACCTGCTTGTATTCTATTGAAATAGTTGCAAGGAAAAAGCCCCCCAAAAGGAAGAGATCACCAGATAATTCTGTGGCCTCTTCTCTAACCCCAGGGACACCTGAAAACTTCACCGTGAGTCACGACCGCCTTGCCGTTGACAATCCGCGTCCTCCGCCCTGACTCCGCCTGCTGCCTGCACCAACACGACTATTATTCCCTGTCTGCACCAGCACCCTTTCACTACTTGAGAAAACTCTTTCCCAGAAAAATAGAAATTGCAAATAAGTGTGTTGTTCATTCCAGGAACATCTCATCAACTCTTCAATAAAAAGGTCAACTGACTCTTCAAACCAAGACCCTTTGAACTCGTCTCCTCAAAATTCTTGCCTTACAGCATCCACCAATCGGAAACCATTATGCCATGTCTTTACCGAATGCTAATCCAGCTCCCACATTAAAACACCTACCTTCCAATGAGACTCTGAGGTCTTCATAAATAGCCCAGCTCTGCCCATCCCTTTGAGACACTATCAAGATTGTCACATTCTCCCTTGTCAAGTGCATTAGTTTTCTGTCACTACTGTAGCAAAAATCACCAGAAATTTAGCGGATTAAGGCAACCCAGATTTATTGTCTTACAGTACTGGAGATCTAAAAGTCCCAAATGGGTCTTAGCGGGCAAACATCAAGGTGTTGAGAAGGCTGTGACTACGCTCCTTCTGGCATCTCCGGAAATACTCCCTCTCCTTGTCTCTTCCAGTTTCTGGAGGTCACCTGCATTCCTTACTTTATGTCACCTTCCTTCACCTTCAACGCCAGCAAAAACATCATGGCCACATCTCCTTACCCTAACCCTTCTATCTCCTTTCACTTATAAGGACCCTTGATATTACACTGAACCTGATACAATAATCCAGGACAATCGCTCCATCTCAAGACCCTTAACTTAATCGCATCTTCAAAGTCCCTTGTGCCATGGAAAGTAACATCTTCACAGGTTCTGGGGATGGAGATGTGAACATCTTTGGGGACCATCAGTCTGCCTACCATACCAAGGTAAGCAATAAACTCAAGTCTGTCTTAGAAACAGGGTGTTCTGGGGATACTTCTGGGAGGTGGCATTTGGCACAATGCTAATAGAGAAATCAAGCTCGACTTCCTCTGCCATGACTACACATGTGCCCAGTGAAGAGGACTAGAGTCCAGAGACGTTCATCCCGCCCTTTCCGAGCCCGCCATGTTATTGCTTGGTCCATGCTCCTTTCCAAGGATAAGTGAACTCAGTCTAGTAAAGCCTAGTTTTGTGTGTTTGATTGACAACGTAAACGCAATACCACTGTTTCTTCTTGAGCAGAATAGGGGTTGTACCCTACAATTGAGGTTATTTTTAAAAAGTGATTGTGTGTGTGTATATGTATAAACTTATATACATACATATATGTATACACAAAAAATTATTCTTGGGCCCTACTTCCTCTGCAACACTAGATGCTGGAGGAAATGAAGTACTGCTCAGAGTTTGAAAGAAAGGATTTTAATCCACTAAACCTATCATCAGCCACATTTTTGCTCACAAATGTAGCTTCCATGTTCAGATCTTCGGAACTTACCCCCTGAACATTACTGAAAGTAAGAACTTGAAGACACAGTTCAACTGTTGCAAAATCAAACTAAAGAACCCTCTAAAGGACAGTCCACTTAAACAGGTTTAAGCCTAAATGCCTACTGAAAATATGGTTGCTACATTAGACAAACATTAAAAATTACTTTTTAGGGAGCAAATACATATCATCAAATTTTAATGCCATGATCTGGTTCTATAATGAAATTTAAAGATGTGTGAAGAAGAAATAAAGTGAAACAAAATATTGACATTTTCAACTTACAGTAATGGACAGAGTTTTATTTAATTCTTGAAAAAAGTAAGGCAGGATATGCATATATAGCAAGATGACTAATAGGGCAGGCTCTTGAGTCAAACTGCCTGGGTTTCAATTTTGGCTGTGGATTCTGGAAAAATTATGTAAATTCAGCAGTTAACCTCTCTGTGACTCAATATTCTCATCTTTAAAATGTAAATAACAACAGGATTACCTACCTCACTGAGTGGCTGCTATAATTTAGCCATTGGAAAGTGCTTGTCACATAGGAGGAAACTCTCACTTTTAACTGTCATTATTGATGAAGAAATACAGGCCCAAGTATTTTTTTTAAGAACTGTAAGGGAAGCACTAGTAGAATTATAGACAGTTAAGGGAAAAATAAAAATCAAAGGATATACAGTTGGTCCATTTTGCATCAGAGAGAGAGAGAGAGACAGAGGAAGGGAGGGAAGGAAGGAGGGAAGGAAAAAAAGCAAAGCAGCATGGAAGACACAGCATAAAATCAAAATGAGAGAAGTAACACCAAAAACTGTTATTCATAGGTTAAACAGCCCTATTAAATGACAAAATTTTTTAGATTTGTTTTTATAAATCCCACCACATACTGCACATAAGAGATGCTATTTAGAAGGAAGAAAAAAATACATGAGGTATATGGAAACATGCCTGAACTATCTCTTCATTTTGCTTGCCTCTACTAAAATATTTTAAGAGAGAAATATTGAGACAAAAAGGATAAGCAAAGATAAATTAAAGCAGGCATGACAATAGTAATATATGACAAAGTCATATTCAAGAACAAGTGCATTAAATGGGATTTAAAAATCTTATTTTGACAAAGGGCACAATTCACAATGAACATATAAAACTCATAAATCTTAAAAGTCAAATAACATAGGATTGAAATATACAATGCAAAAATGGCAGAAGAGGGAAAAATGTACTAGGAGTGGGAGACTTTAAGACAGTGCCTCAGTCTTAAATAAATCAACTGCACAAAAATAATGATATACTGTATTTGAACAATATTGCTTTTATAGATATATGTCAAACTTTTTCTTTATAGAAAACATTCTTTTTTCCCCCTCAAGCATCCATGCAACTGTAACAAAAATTAATCATGTACAGGGCTATAAAAATCTGATAAATTTTCCAAAAAATCAGAAATTGTATAAACCACATTTTCTGGCAACAATTAAATGAAGTTTGACTTAAGTTAAAATGGTCTTAAAATCAGCAAAAATAAAAAATTAGGAAATAGAAAAAATCCTCCTACAAGAAGGTCACTGAAGATATTCATGTATTAAAGAGAAAATCAATATTAAATCAGTGTAATTAAAGCTCTGATAGAAGAAGTGGACATCTGGTATCCCCGGAGAGATGGTACAGGACAAGAATAAAAATGTCCCCATCAGAGCATCAGCCATCCTTGTAAAAAAA